GGATCCTGGGGAGTCAAACTCAAGCCTTCACACTCTGTGGCAAATCTCCCCAGCTTCTTCGGTTAGCTAATGTTTCACCTTAGGTGCTTGGAACATGCAGGTGTCCTGATAATGATCTCAGGGGCTGTTTAATTCATGTTGAAATTCGAATTCAGCAGGATGCTTGGTGCTAAAGATACCGATCTCTGGTATTTGAGACGTTGTGGTACATTGTTGATAAAAGGCCCTGGAGATAATGGCATTGTGCATGGCATTATTGTTCCTGCCTTTTCAACCTTGGCACTGTTTTCAAGAACTCCCTCAGTACAAGATTTAAGTCAACTTTCATGATTACGGACTTAGGTAATTACTAACAATGAAACACAATGCTCAAGGGCCAGCAAGCTGGCTCAGCAGATAAAAGAACAGCTCACCAAGCCTGATGACCTGGGTTTGATCCCTGGGAGCCATGTGGTGGGAGGAGGAGCTAGCTTCTCCTACTGCACCTCTGCGCACGTGGGTGCACACATGATACATCTAATAAAGCAGTTACAAAAATGTCACTTGAAATTTGAGAATTCTACTTTTCTGCCATAAAGTGAAGATGAATCTGAACATCCCCTTACTAACCTCAATGAAATCAAGAACACGGGATATAGCCAGACTCTGCCCCCCCCCCGCCCCCGTTTGAGTCTATTTCTTCTGTATTGATTTCCATGGATATCAAAACAGATTAAAATATTAATGATGTTTCTCTTTGTAGATTTTCTATGCTTTTTAAATACCGGGAACTTGTGTCTGTGTGTAGTGGGTAGCCATTCCAGCTTTGATCTGGAAGTTCCAACCCTCATTGAGGCTTCGGTAACTGTCACGCCTACAAGGCAGGGCCAAGAGAGAACCCTGAAGACCCGAGATCTGGATGCTTGAGCTCTCTTGGTTCCTGGACCCTGGACGCTGGAGGTAGACAGAGCAGAGTTCTCCAGAGAACATCACTGGACTGTGCCACACCCTTCCCAGACCCTGTAAAATATCCCTTCACTTGTAAGTCACCCCACAAAATAAACCTCCCTTTTAACTACGTGGAGTGGCCTTAATAATTTCACCAATATCTGTGTCTTACTGGAAACGCAGGTGTCTGGACATTGATGTTATAAAAATTATCCTGCTTATTCTCTCACATTGTCACGACTTCATTTTGGAGGGCCCAGACCACTCCTGTATGGTAAGAACAAGGGACTTTTGGACTTTTAATTTGGAATGGTTGACCCTCTGCTTAAGAGTGGTACTGATGTTTGAGTGGTTTCTGTGTAAGACAGCATGGTCCTGGTTCTGGGGGGTTCTCCAACTTTGTTCATCCTCATTTCACTGATGCTCTGAACCAGTCTGATCTAATTCTCTCTTACAGTTCTGAAGGATAAAGTGTGGTGGTTGATACACCAGCCAAGTGAATGCACCATTCCTGCCCAGGGAATCCATGCTTCTGTACTTTGTATTTTATCCCAGGGACCTCAACCAGGCAACAAACGAGCCTCAAAGACTTCCTCTCATCCCCAACTTTCTAGCCTTAACCAAGTAAGAAGGTCCTTCTTGAGTTTTCTAAGTATCAACCTATGTCCTTTGGATGCTTCTGAGTTGAAGTCCTTCTAAGTAAAAGATGCCTCAACTTTTAACTTTTTATCCAGTTGGAGACAGGAGACCTATATATTAGGATTTGGATATTGACCATGTTGTAAGCCCATTAAGCACAGGTGTATAGATTGTGCCTGGATGTGGGGCTATGTTCACACAGAAGAAAGTGTGTACCATTCTTCATGCCAATGTACTGTAGGTCTGATGAGCTGTGTTCCCTGGGTATATGCTGACTTCAAGGTGGTGTTTTTCTAATTGTTATGAAGTTGTACTAGGGGAGGCCTTCTTTACTTTTTTACAAATTGATGTAAAACTCATATATCATGAAAGAACCATTTTAAAGTGTACAGTAAGGTGATATTTAGTGCATTCTGTGTATGTGTGTGTCTTGTGGTTCATGTGCACAGGAGCATGTGGGTGCACACTCCTCAGCGTGTGCACATGGAGAAGGTCAGGGGAGAATATGAGCAATCTTCCTCTATTGCTATCATCATCATCATCATCATCATCATCGGTGCATGTGCAGGTGTGCACAGGCCATGGGGTGCGTGTTGAAGTAAGAGAACAACTTTGTGGCACCTGTTCTTTTCTTCCATCTTCACATGGATTCTGGGGATAAAACTCGGGTGGTCAGATTTTTGTGACACCAAGCCACCTTTGCTGGCTCCTCCGTTTTGTTGTTGAGACAAGATCTCTCAGTGAATCTGAAGCTCTCTGCGTGTTGACTAGCTAGATGGCCAGAGTGTTCCTGGGGTCTGCCTGTCTCAACTTCCCCAGTGCTGGTGATACCAGCATGCACGGCCATGCCTGGCTTTTCATATGGGCACCGGGGATTTGAACTCAGGTCCTCTTCCTTTCACAGCAAACACCCTTACCCACTGTGCCATCTTCTCAACCTCATGGTACGTTTTAGACCTCTGATGGCCAATCTCTTTAATCACCCCTGAAGAATACCCTATAACCTTTAAACAATCACTTGCTAAATGCTGCTATTCATGACTTGTAGTTCACCACGTTGATTCAATGACCAAAGATTTTATCCCATGGAATGGAAGCTCCATTGTGCAGCTTTTGTTTTGGACTTGTTTTACTTTAGAAACATCTTTTGGAGATTAGAACAAGAATGGTGATAAGATGAGACCAACATTGTGCTCTGTGTTCTGCCTCGCAGCACTTGAGAGGATTGTATAGGTACAAAAATACAGGTTAGTAGACTGATACGTTCTTTCATCATTTTCCAAATTACATATCGAGGATCACTAGTTACAAGACACTAACAGGAGAGATAACAAGAGCAAACATTCTGGCTTCCTCAGTTTGGGCATGATGGACAGAGACGGTCTTCTTGAGGTCATTATGCCTTAATGTTCCAAGGCAACTTATCAAATCTTCAAAATGACAGCTGTCCAGGTCTGAGTTGCTGCTACTACAATAAAAACACTCTGACCAAAAGCGACTGGAGGAAGGAAAGTGTTTATTTCTGTTTATACTTTCAAGTCACAGTCCATCCCTGAGGGAAGTCAGGACAGGAACTGAGGCAGAAATTGTGGAGGAACAAACCAAGTCGCTTCCTGGCTCACTCTCAGCTTATGCTCAGCTTGCTTTTATTTTCTTTTGGTTCTGGGTTGTTATTTTTATCTAACTCTTTTTAGTTTTTGAAAATTTCATATATGAATATTAGAGTATTGTATTAACATCATATCTACCCCTCCTCTTCTCTCCTCCAACTCCTCTCATGCCCCTACCCCCCTCAAATTCATAACCTCTTTTCTTAAAAATAATGTCTCTCTTACTGAGTTGAGTCTCTTTAGTGCTGCTGGCATGTGCTTGTGTGTAGGGCTGATCACTTGGGATTGGATGACATATAAGGTATAAGGGAATTATCCCCAAAGAAAACTATTCTTTCTTTCTCTCAGGAGCCATTGATTGCTTATACTCTTTATCTAGGGGGGGAATATTGAGAACTTTTCCCTATCTAGAATTAATACCCAGAATATATAAAGAACTAAGAAAACAAATAACCCAATTAAAAATGGACTATAGATCTGAACAGAGAGCTCTCAAAAGTAGAATTTTATTTGGCTAAAAAATATCTTTAAAAGTATTCAACGTCTGTAGCAATTAGGGAAAAGCAAATTAAAACTACTTTGATATTTTCATCTTGTCCCACTCAGAATAGCTAAGATCAAGATAATAATTGACAAGTGCTGTTGAGGACAAAGGGAAAGAGAACCTTTATACATTTTTGGTGGGACTGCAGTCTGGCTCAGCTTGTGCTCTTACACAGCCCAGGACCACCTGCCTAGGGGTGGTAGCACCCACAGTGGGCTGAAGCCTCCTACATCAATTAGCAATCAAGAGAATTCCTTACAGGCATACCCACAGGCCAATTTGATCAAGGCCTTTCTTCATTTGAGGGTCCCTTTTCTCAGGTGACTCTAGAGTGTGTGAGGGTGACATTACAAACTAACCAAGACAACAATAAAGCATATAATATTATTGGATCATTGGGTTCTTTCCCTCTTCTGATGTCTGAAGATAAGGCCAGCATGTCGCCTGTTCATTTGATGATCTACACATCTGAATGGGACATCCCCCAGTTTTCAGATGAGAAATGGATGCTCAGGCGAGTGAAGTGACTTACTCAGTAGTCATGGGTCACGGCTTACAAGCTGTGGCTAGAAACATCTAGTGCTGTTATTTTGCCGTCTTGAGTTTATGGTCTTTCATTTTGCATTACACCTTAGTACCCCTTTGATGTCTGAAAGCATCATCTGTAGAGTCACACGTGAGTGACTGGATGTGCTTGGCAATGCCTCAGACACCCAAATGACACAAACTTCCTATTGTAAAATGGACCTTTTGGAATACCAGGACCACTTCGTTCAGGTAAGGGTCCTCATGGTTGTTGTGTTTTTTAGTGATGTATTTTGGTTGCAGAAATAATAGACCATTTAGTAGGAAACAAAGAAAAAGGATTATTGAAAGAACAAGTATAGTTAAAGAAAAAAAAATGCTGTAGTGCCATGTTGAGACTTTGAAAAATTCCAGTCCCCACTATTATTAACAAATTCCAAAGGAAAGAAAGCAGTGACAATAACTTCTTACCATTGAAGAGATCAAATACTTTTTATTAAGTACAAGTCCCAATAAGCTACTGAAGTATTTCTGGTGATACTTATGGTGATGTATTACACCCCCCTCTCCACATTGTAGGGCGTTTGTCGGTGTTCAAGCCAGCAGAGACATTGGCTCTTTCACGGCAAATGGCTTTACCTCCTGGGAAATTCTGTAGCTGGGACAGTAGCTGAGTTATCGATACTGAAGGTTTCTAGGGTTATAGCTGGTTCATTTTGAAGTGTCATCCTCTCAGGATTCTTGTCAGAAGATTTTCAACAGCTGGGCTCAGAGCAGCTGGGCGGGCAGCAGTAGCAGCAGCAGGCTGGACGGCAGCAGGACTGTCCACAGTAGGAGGGGCGGCAACAGGAGGCCTGGGCATGGTGCAGCTGGCAGCAGGTTGGGGGTGTGCTGCTCACGATGCAGCAGGGGGGCAGGCAGGTGCCCTCCACGCGGCAGTCTGGGCGGCACCATCTAACGCGGCAGCTCACGCCTCCACTGCCACCCTCCTGGCCACTGCCAGTTCCACAGCAGCTGGGCTGGCAGCAGCTGGTCTGACAGCATGTGGGCTGGCAGCAGCTGGTCTGGGAGCAGCTAGGTTGGCAGCAGCTGGTCTGACAGCAGCTGGGCTGGCAACAGCTGGACTGGGAGCAGCTGGGCTGGCAGCAGCTGGACTGGGAGCAGCTGGGCTGGCAGCAGCTGGAGCCACAGGTGCCACCAGTGGAGCATGTGGGAAAGCCACAGAAGCTAGTAGCGCAGCAGGCCATGGT